CATTCGAAATCTGTTGCAGAACGGTGACACCATACTCCAGTGACCCGACTCCGCCCATGCGATGCGGGCGGAATGTGCCATCAAGAATAGTACTGGAATTCTGATTGCTCACCTGATGGCAGCCCCGTGATCAAGTTGTTTGAACCGTTTTGCGATGGTAGACAGGTGCCTGAAAATAGGTTTATTGACTGGTTTACTTTCTTCGATTGCCTTGTTCATGTAAGTAGGGAGGAGGATAATTATTTGCCAGAGCTTGAAAATAGCGGGCAGGATGGGAGGATTTTTGAAAATCTGTTCTTTCAATAAGATTTATTCCCTGGGAAATAATGAAATTTTGAATTGTATTTTTCGGAACCTCTTCCAGTACCCTTCAGACTGATACACTGCAATTCGCAAAAACAGACCTGTTTCATACTGTGAAGCTTTTTTTTGAAAAAAAAACGGAAGTCGGAACATTAAGAAGATTTGAAAGGCTGGCGTCATTTCAAGTTATCCCTTTATGGTAAGCACGGAACCATTTCTTTTGAGAATGCTGATAAAGGGCATAAGTCCTTAACCCAGGCGGGACTCGAGCCCCACCTCAAGCTTTACGGCTAGTGCGCTATCCGTTACGCCACCACAGCCACTCCCACCCTGTCAGCTTGACGGCTTTTGTTGTGGGGATAGCTTACTCGCCCGGAAAGGGTGAGGTGCGGTTCAGGTCCGCGTGGTGTCAAGCCTTCTGCTATAATTCTGCATTCTTGTAATATCTTTCGGAGCCGTTTGCTCCTATGCTCAACCTCACCTACCCAACGGTGGCGTCCAAAAACCATTCTGACACATTGACGATGATGATCCCTGAAGTGTGTAGCTGTTATTGCACATCAGGAATACGGTAGTTCCTGACGAATAAGGAACCGCAGGGTTGGCTTGAATGTACATTGGTGTACCACCTGGTACGTTCACAGCCGTACAACTTAGTCCTGTCGTTGTCTGTAAAAAGAATATTGCAATCTGCAACTAATCAATAAATGGATGGGTTAGTGAGCAGTACAGCAGCATTAGGTTGAAACTTTGAAAAGCTCGGGTTTAGTAAAGCGACACTACAGTTCTAAAGTGTAAGGTTAGATTACCTACGAAAATTAATGTTCACAAACCTGTCGTTTTATTCGAGCAAGCTGGAATAATAAGAGTACATCAAAGAAGTAGAAAGAAAGACAATTCCAAAAAAATTAGTTTTGTAATGCTGAAGTAGGAAGACGACGCTGAAAAAGTATTCTGAGCCAACAGTTTGGGGCTTTCTTTCAGCTCGCCATCCCTTTTGTAACGCGACAGGGGAGGGGGCGTATTTTATCGTGAAAATTTTGCTTCCCCCTTTACCCGGTGGCCTCGCAAAACTATTTCTGATAGTCCATCCCCGCCCCTCGACACAGTCTGGGAAAAGTTGGATGGTGAGAGAGAAATCGTGCTAAGGCATGTGGTTCCGGCAGCGAGTTGTATTTCGCAAAAATTTTTCACAGTGTGACGGTGTTACCCTGCTATACAACCTTTTTTAAGATTCTCTCAGATGCTGGCTCATCTGAAGAAAGGGGCTCAGGTCTAGAGAGCTCTCGGTTGATCTTTGTGCTAGAAACGTTTAGCGCAATGTTCAGCTACTTCGAAAAACGAAATTCGCCAACTGCCGTCAGAGCACTGACTACACTCCTTAGGCAGACTGTCTGCCTGTATTCGGCGCAGAAGAAACCAGTAGTAAGGTTGCAGTTGAAAAGTCATCTTGTGGAGTTCCAACAACAACACCTTTGGCACTAAGACTACAGCCTTTAAGATTCGCATCAAAGGTGTACTCGTTCTGCATGGAGTTCATATGCGTGGCTATCGTGACATTGACGTGATCAGCTCTCTACCACCACTTTACTTCTAAGAGTGTGCAATAGTGGCAATTCGATTCATTCTCCAAGAAGCCACACAAATTTACCACGCTCCTTTCATTGTCACTAAACCGCAACTGAATTGTATTGCCAGGACTTAAAGGCACGTTGTCACGATAATTTGGTACTCGGATACTCAAATGCGGTGTGTGGTGATATCTATCGTCGTCGCGGCTGGTGCGGCGGGAAGCCAGAGCTGACGTGGCCGCGCCGCGTACGAGTTTTGTTTTGCTGGCGATTCAAATTGTTAAAGGGTCGACGATCTCATTTGGTGGCGTTCAAATTGTTAAAGGCGTCGACGATCCCTGTTAACAATTCGAAAAGCACAGCGCTGCTACGCCGTTGCTCCAGTGACCATCTCGGGAGCCTTACGGTAATGCAAACTCCGGGACGGCCGCGGTCGCGGCGCGGCGGCTGATGCGGCGGCCCTGACTCGCCCCGACGATGAATCGCGACGCGAGGCCCCAACAAGCTAGCCAAGGCGCCTATATAGTGGGGAAAAATGGCGACAAGAACGGAACATGTGAAATTGTCAAAAATCCTATGAAGAAAAAGCCTTATTTCTTGGCTGAATTAAAAATTCGATTTCGCCGTCGAGCTTGCCCGTAGCATCTTGCCAATAACCGGCTACCGTCGCATACAGAGTGAGATATGCTGAACCACATATATCCATGCAGGCGGAACCGCCGGCCGCTTCATACCGATCCGTTTCGCTCAAAATTAGCTCAGCCAAAATGAAGCCATTATAAGCGTTAGGAACGGTCCCATTTGTGGCGCGGCGGCTTGGTGGGCCATGTCGCGTTTAATTGTTGTAGCTTAGTGAGCTGCTATAGGGGGTGCCGTGGTCCGGAAAGGGGCGGCGCAGCGCTCTAGCGGTAGCGGACTTCGTCGTGCCAGGCGTATATAAATCCTACTTGTCTTCAGGGACCTTATTGTGCCAACTGCCCGGGTTACAGACGAAAGTTATCGTTGCTTTCTCAGTCGTCATTGAAATCCGAACGCTCACCACCACTTTCGGAGGATTCTGACAACATCATAGCGTAGATGATCGTATGGGCAGATTCAGGCTTGCCAATGCGCTACTCTCATCGGTGAGTACCCACTTTCTAATGGGAAACGAAGCAGAACGGCCCTATGAGTAAGGTTAATGATGTATGGCCGATTCACTCACACGATCCGCATACCACTCTAATAATCTGTGGCTTGCTTGCGGAGACTCGCGAAGTGTTTTCAAGGAGGCAACATGTCACGCCGAATGGGAACGGCCACCGTCCAACTTAGACTATTTGCCTTGCTGGCGAAATCACGGAAGTGTTCCCTTGAGGTTCAGACAGCAGCCACTGAAATTTGACAGAGCAGTGGCCCTTATATTGGGCCGAATGTAATGGCCCAGATGTCCAGAAAGCCGTTCAAGAAAGTGTCTCTACTCCACTTTCATTTCCCGTCATCCAGTGCTTTTAGCTCTCTTTCCCTCACCATTCATAGTACATATACGCATTCAGATGGAATTTAAGTGGATTTCCAAAGCCTAGCATTCGGATGTTACTCACTCGCGAAATATTTCGAGCCATTTGTTTGTTTATGGATTCAAACCGACCGTTCGGCACTCTCCAAATCCACTACTTGGTGACCAGCCGTCTTCCGTGCACGTCAGCGTGGGAACACCAGAAACATTGAGTCCCAAGTCGCAAGTGAGTGTAGCTGTTACTGATGGCATGTACGGTGGCAGCGAGTTGTAGATGATCTGGAACACTTCGTGACAGTACCGGGATGAAATTAAAATATGCAGGATTGGTTTCTTGACTCTGCATCTATGTCCCCCCAATTAAGCAGAAAATCAAATTCTGTTTAGCTTCTGTCTGCAGTCGTTTTCGTTGCAGATGCTGGAGCGGGTTAGAGGGCTGGGTCTGGCGCGGCGCCAGCTCTCATTGCTTGCCCGCTTCAACAATTGGTGGAAAACGGGCTGGCACCGCGCCGAACCCATTCCCCCTGAAACGTCATGTCGTCTGCAGTGAAAAAGACTGTAAGCCCACGAAACCGAAAGCTGAACTACACATTTGTGTCCTTCTTCACATCAATATTCTCGTAAGTCCGATTGCTTCTATAATTTCAGTTTTTTTTTCAGAATTTACACCATATTGTATCTAAATTTGTCTGTCTGCGTGCCTCTCTGTCTGTCTGTCTGTCTGTCTGTCTGTCTGTCTGTCTGTCTGTCTGTCTGTCTGTCTGTCTGTCTGTCTGTCTGTCTGTCTGTCTGTCTGTCTGTCTGTCTGTCTGTCTGTCTGTCTGTCTGTCTGTCTGTCTGTCTGTCTGTCTGTCTGTCTGCTTCTCTGTCTGTCTCCCAATCCGTGTCTGGAATTCCATTCCAACTGAGAACTTTGACCACCGAAATTATTTTTCTAATAAAATCCGACAAACAATGGATCTGAAAGCGGTCGCGCTGAGTAAAAACGTGACTTACTCTTCCAGGAAATTTCGTAGTAAGTGGAGGACATCTGGGGTACATATTCGACTGACAGATACCCAATTTTCGACTCCATCGGCCACCTACGCACACAGCGTCGATTGAACCGAACACATTGAAACCAAAGTTGCAAACCAAAGTCACATGCGTCCCTTGCAGAAACCGCCCTGAAATGATTGTCAGCTTGAAGTCGGCGCGCTGAAATAAAACTCTACTTCATGTTCTCTAAGTAGAGTCACTGAATGGAGTAATAGTCGCTAAGAGCTGTGGATACGCTCCCACGGAGCCGCAGCGATTTGTAAAGCGTTTCGTCATCACGGTCAGGCAATTTGCAGAGTTTCTGTTCCCCACATAGGGCATGTCTGGTTGTCGCGGTATTTTTTGCACAACAAGACCGCCCAAATTCTGCTTCTGTTACGTCCCCTCCTTCATGTGACCAAGTATGACTCCGCTGGGGGTTCTACAGCGTTCGACAGTGCTATCTCCACAAGGTCTACAAGTTTGGGTCGCTGAATCCGTACACCACTCTACCAAACGTGGAGTGAAATGCTTCTATCTCATTCATCCATCACAACAGAGCCGCAACAAAGTTGTCTCCATGACCTGGCGTGTAGGAGAATGGCGGAATTGTTTTGCCCTCGCTTCCCAGCTTCGCACTGGAGACCCCAATCCCAACGTGCATGGAGTACCAAACTGGTGTTCATTTTTCCTGAACGCCTCTGGGAATGCCAAAAATGGAGTGAAAAAGAAGTCCATGGAAACCGACTGTTATTGAGCCTGAATGGGCTCATCACTCGCAAGTTCGGCCAGTTGCTGCCTATAGGGTCCTTATAAAGGTTGTACTGGTACCTATGAGAAAAGTGGTCGTCAATGGGGTCTTACTTGTGGCACGTAGTTAAGAGTCGACGGCCAATTCGAATGGGCTCTTAAGCAATCGAAGTGGTAGCCTGCGCCAACGATCGGATGGCCTAGTGGATAGCGTGGAGGATTCTCAAGCAGACGGTGGGGATGGGGGATGATGGTTCGACTCCCCTCGGCTTGCACGTTTTTGCATTTTTTATTTTCCGTTGTTGTCGCTTCCATTAGTAACTCTGATTAAGGATTATGTCGATCATCTGCCACTTTAAATAGGCACATCCTAGATAGTTATACCCCGTAGTCGTTGGCTATTCAGCAAATTTCGATTTCACATACCATTAAGCAAGAACTTGTCTGAAAGTTGAGCTTTATATGTTATTCGGTGCCCTGATCACGACTATGGCATTTACTTTCAGCTCCAGTGCCATTTATCTCCAATTTGGAGCCACGTCTTTCTCCCACTGGAGTCGCTATGTACATTCGTTTGAGGGACTTGCAGGGCCATTCTGACGCCAGATTGGATTGACGTCAAGAATAAGTGTCAGAATCGTGATCAGGACCATCGATTACCCCTATAGGCAAACTTTCAGCCAAAAATTTTTTTTGACTTTTTTGAGTCTGTGCATTGGGTTATGCTCAAGAGTCACTTTGTTGAAGTCGTACTTTTGCTGGTTATCGAAACCCTCATTCAGTGGTACGGAAACAAAAAACTAGCAACAACCATAAACGCCATCGAAAAAAAGAACAAAATAGTCATCATTCCTCCAGGTGCATTTGAGGAAGAAATCGGATGAGTCTCTCCTCTTGGTAGGGGAGGACGACATCTTCGTTGAGCGAGAAGTCGTGGGGGTCGACAAATGTCCAGGATGGTTTTTCACTTGTTCTGCGGCCACCCATGCCCAAGTATGAATGGACCTTATGAGCACCAAATCCGCGATGCGGCTGCCCGGCGGCCCACCACGTCATCGCTTAACGATCAATCGAAACTCCACAGTTGTGGTCTGCCCGGTCATCAACCGACGACCTGGTCGGTCTATCACAACTCAAAAAAAGTCAAAAAAATTTTTTGGCCGAAAGTTTGCCTATAGGGGTAATCGATGGTCCTGATCACGATTCTGACACTTATTCTTGACATCAACCCAATCTGGCGTCAGAATGGCCCTGCAAGTCCCTCAAACGAATGTACATAGCGACTCCAGTGGGAGAAAGACTTGGCTCCAAATTGGGGACTACGTGCCACAAGTAGGACCCCATTGGCGACTACTTTTCTCATCGATACCAGTACCTTTATAAGGAACCCCCCTTATAGACAGCCAACCTTGGGGGCCGAAGTTGCGAGTGATTTAGAGCCCCATTTCAGGCGTCAAAAACAGTCGTTCCCATCGCGACCTTCTCTTTTCACTCCATTTTTGGCATTCCCAGAGGCGTTCAGGAAAAATGAACACCAGTTTGGTACTCCATGCACGTAACCCCACATCATGCAAAAAACCGTTTTCAAAAAGCGCTCCACGTCCTGAACGACCTCCCTAGTAAGTGGAACTGGCGGAATTGTTTTACCCTCGCCTTACCCAGCCTTCGCAGCTGAGGCCCAAATCCCAAAGTGGCAGTGCTCTAAGAACGACTGTAGGTGTCACAGCAGGCAAGCGCAGGGACACTTCTGTACGTTGGGCGAAAATATCTGGCAAAATGCAGTATTCCTGCCCCCGTTCTCAAAAGCTTCCTTCTGCTAACCCGACACCCCCCGCACCCATCCCTACCTAACCTTTCGCCTAAATATCGCGAGACGGAACCACATCTGTCGTTTCCATTCGCCGGTGAAACACCAGCTCTCCAAAAGAATTTCTCCGCAGTTCTCTCCGCGCGGAACATAACTACCGTGATGCAAGAGCAGGGCCCATCATCAGTTTTGAGGATTTTGGTCGAATCCTCAAAGGCGCCCCTTTTTTTTTGGGGGGGCGAGTACGACCCCCCCCTTCTAGTTCCCGTCCTCGTCTGAGCTGTCTTGGACGCGGCGGGGGGGGGGGGGGAAATGCGCTGCTACTCTAAACATGAAACAGGAAAAATCACAACTAGCGATCCAAATACCACAAAAATCAGCAACGCTCCTCCATCAAAAAGACCAGATGTGGAAATTAGGACTCTCCCTTTGCAACGTCCGTGACAAAAAAATCATTTATTAAAATACATTTTTCTTAGACAAAATGTGACCCTCCTCTACCAGCGACCAAATACGACCCCCTGCTCTGGTGAGGAGCGCAGACAAAAATGACGCTCCAGTGAAACTGGAAAAAAGAAAGCAATTACTTCTCCCTTCCTCCACCGACCAAATACGATCCCAACGTACGACGTGCCCTAGGAAGAAGTTGGTGATTTCTACGGCGACCCAGTGCCAATGCTGGAGAGCCAAGGGAAGCCCATATGAAGGATATGACCTCCAACACTTCTTCCGGCAAAGAGATGATGCTAACATTAAGACTAGCATAGCTATGGTAGTGACGGTCTGATTCAGTGGGTAAAACTAAAGTTGTGTTTCACTGGGGTCTTGGGAGGTCCACAATACTTCAGGACGCTCAGTGGGATGGAGTCCCATGCAATGGTAAGGTAGAGCAACACAGTTCTGCATAAAATAGTTTTGCGACACTTAGAGCCTGGTCTCCATGTCATTTTTTGGATTTTCTTTTTTCTCTAACGAAATTTAGTGCTCAAAGGTGCGAAGAAACGGTTAACAGCCAAGGGGATCAGAAGTTTTGCCTAAGCTGAGTAAGGGGTGCAGCATGGGGAAGTGAGCTACATCACTTCATTCCAGAAGATTTTCCTGATCATTTACAGTGAAAGAAAAATGTTCATAATGTTTTTAAGTGCCTGGACTGTTCTAGAAATTCAACACCATATTACATTAGTGCCTAGCAGAAGAAACTAGATAGATGTAAAGTACCTCCTAGTGCAAGCGTGCTATAGATGAGCTGTCCGTCCGGTACACTTCCTAGCGCAGCACATTCCAGCGATGCCGATGAGACAGCTTTGGCCGACCCAGCATTGACTGATGATTCTGGAAAAATCATATCTTTACCTTTTTTACACTTACAGGTCGTTCTCCCTGGTTTATAGATGTTTAATCAATTAGGCTTCGGTCTGTTGCTGAAGAATTCTACCGATTGTTTTGCTTTCCTTTCAGAGCTATTACTACTCTATTACTGGATTAGGTCAATTTGAAACACATTCAGAGCGGCCCAAGACCTGAAAATCTGGGATCGTACTCCCTCCTCTTTTCCCTTATCCCCTCATTTTCACTTTTGTTTCCCCCTTATGCTCTCTCTCTCTCTCGTGTTTTGCTTCATCTTCACCTATCTTGTCCCCCTTACACACCTTTACCCTAGAGTATTGACACCATTTCCGCCATTTTTTGCAAAGTGTGGTTTTCACCTCGATAGTGACTGAACTCATGACCCTCCACTGTACAAACCATGCAGCCTCACATGCACCTCAAATGTCTGCTGGCTGGTTGTGAGCCTCACATGAGCTCAGGTTCATGTGAGGCTCACCACCAGCCTGCAGACATTTGAGGTGCACGTGAGGCTGCATGTTTTGCAGGTTCAAATGCCGGCAGACATTTGAACCAACTGATTGCCCACGCCTGTGCTTAACTCGCGATTGACTTTTTTCCTCTGCTCAATATCGCTGCATTTCTTCTCGCTCTCCAAATCTCAAGGCACCCCTCAACCTTTCTTTTGAACACAACTTTTTCACCACACCGCTCTTTCTGCCCTAACAACTCACCGTTTCGCTTAACACAGTAACCAAGACCACTGGATGGATACCATCCTGTTTTTACACAAAGCACTGCGCTTTGTCCACCTCCCAGATAGCCTGGGTCGCAAACGAGCGTAGCCGTTGTTCCTATTGTATAGATAGACGACGGCGCTGACGAGTAAGTGATCTGAAACAGCGTGAACTGTTGGCTAACATAGTGGAGTTGGAATTAGCTTCAGGAAAAATTCTCTTGATCGTTGGTTCCCCCTTGATGGCGGCAAGTAAAA